GCTAACACTTGGGCCTTAATCGCTCTCCTTGGCTCGTAAATAATTGTGTATTCACTTAACTCGACCGCCCATTTGACTAACCGCCCCGACACGGAGGGTCGGCCCAGCGTTTCTCCCAATGGCATGTTCGTTCGGACCTTCACCTTATGCTCCAAGAAATATGGTTTTAGTTTTCTTACAGTGACCACCATCGCCAAAGCCCCCTTTTCGATCTCTGAGTACCTCCTTTCCGCCCCTTGCATCACCTTGCTCACATAGTAAATAGGAAACTGAGCTACTCCTTCTTCCCGCAACAGCACAGAGCTTACTGCCATCTCACCGATGGATACATATAACACCAAGTCCTCCCCTTGCACCGGTTTCGCTAATAGCGGTAGATCGACCAACATCCTCTTCAACTCCTCGAATGCTTTCTGCGCTTCCTCCGTCCATTGAAATTTCGAGCTCTTCCGGAGTGTCTTAAACAGGGGCCCACTTTTCTCAGCCACTTTGGAAATAAAACGGCTCAGACCCGCTATTCGGCCAGTTAAGATTTGTACCTCCTTCACCTTCGTGGGGGGCTGCATCTCGATTACCGCCCTCACTTTCTCCGGGTTAACCTCGATCCCCCTCCTTGTGACCATATAGCCCAAGAATTTTCCCGATTTGACCCCGAACGAGCACTTAGCGGGATTCAACTTCATTCCATACTTCTGGAGGGTCATGAATGTCTCTTTTAAGTCGTTCACATGGTCAATTTCCTCCCTGCTCTTTACCAGCATGTCATCCACATATACCTCCATGTTCCTCCCCAACTGCTCTTTAAAAATTTTGTCCACCAACCTTTGATACGTCGCTCCCGCATTCTTTAGACCAAAAGGCATCACCACATAGCAGTATGTTCCACGACTTGTCACAAAGCTGACCCTCTTCCAATCCTCACGAGCCAGTGGGATCTGATGATACCCCTGAGATGCGTCCATCAAGCTGAGTAACTCACACCCCGCCGTGGAGTCGACCAGCTGGTCGATCCTCGGAAGCGGATATAAATCCTTCGGGCATGCTTTATTCAGATCACGGAAATCAATGCACATTCTCCATTTCCCTTCTGCTTTTGACACCATCACCGTGTTTGAGAGCCATTCGGGGAATTGAATCTCCTTAATATGTCGTGCTCCCAACAGCTTCTCGACCTCCTGCTCGATAACTTTATCCATCTCCGCCCCATGGTGCCTTCTCTTCTGTTTCACCGGCCTCACGCTGAGGTCGATGTTTAGCCGATGCTCAATCACCTCCGCACTTATCCCTGTTAGTTCTTCTGCCGTATAGGCGAAGATATCCGCGAACTCCCTCACCAACTGGATCAACCTCGACCGGATGGGCTCTCCCAAGTCCTTCCCTATCCTAAACTTCTTCTTCTCACACCCCTCGATCATCTGAACCTCCTCGACCTCCTCCCCAGGTTGGATATCCATTTTCTCCTTGCCCTTCTCCCCTTTCTGTCTGTCCTCCCTCGACCTTGATCCCCCTGGTCGATTGGCCTCCTCTCCTCTCGACCCGGCCTGCCTTTTCGCCAATTGTCTGTTATTGTTGACTGTCGTTTGGTAGCAACTTCTCGAGGTAAGCTGATCCCCGGCGATCTCTCCTACGCTTTCACCCACCGGATATTTGATCGTCATGTGGTACGTGGATACGACCGCCTGGAATGCGTTTAAGCTCGTCCGTCCCATGATGATATTATAAGATGACTCAGCACCCACGACCACAAATCTCACCATGCGCACCTTTCTCAGTTCTCCTGATCCCAATGCCATGGGCAGGCTGACTTCTCCCATTGGCATAACCTCTCCTCCATTAAAACCGTACAGCGCCGTGGTTACCGGCTTCAGCTCCATATTTAGCTCCCTGTTGATCTGCGCAAAAAAGTCGTAAAACATCACGTCTACCGAACTCCCGGTATCAATGAACACCCTCTTCACATCAAATCCTGCGACATCTGCAGTTATCACCAAGGCATCATTGTGTGGCAGGACCACTCCTTCGGCGTCCTCCGCCTTAAACTTATCACCGGCATTCGGGCTGCGATACTCACCTCCTCCCTCTTCCTCTTCATTGCTCGAACATGACCTTTCCTCGCATATTCGAGTCCCCGTCCGTTGGTCCTCCTGAAATCATATATATCGTGCCTCTCTTTACCTGGCCTCCATCCCCTTCTCTCTCCCGTTCTCTACTCCTTCGCCCTCTCTTCCCTTCGTCTCTCCTTCGACCATCTCGACCACCTCGCGTCCCCTCATCGTCATCCTCCTCACTCCTTTATACTGAGTCCTCCCGGCACCTCCTCTTCTCCTTTCTCCTCCCCTTATCATGATAGACAAATTCCTTGAGATGCCCTGCTCGAATAAGACGCTCGATTTCATCCTTAAGATGCCGACAGTCCTCAGTAGTGTGGCCGTAGTCCTTGTGGAAGCGGCAATATCTCCTCGACTTCGGCTGAGTGGGCCCCTCGAACCTCGACCTGGGCCATGTCACGTCCTTCCCATCTATCCCTTTCTCCATGGCTATCAGAACCTCGGCCACCTTTGCGTTTAACGGGGTGTAATCATGGAATTTTTGTCCTCCAGAGATGGGTCGGTCCTTCCACCTATCCTCTCGCCCTCGGTCTTGTCTAGCTCGTCCTTCCCTCCTGGGCGAAGCTTTCCTCTTGGGCGAGACTGTTTTCTCCTTCCTCAACTCCCCTCGACCCAATTCCTCCAGCTTGGCAAACTCTGCCTCAGTCTCCTCGAGGTTGATATATTTCCTGCATCTTCTCAACACCTCATCGTATGTGTGAGCAGGGGTCTTAGCCAGAGAAGTCCTACATGGCCCCGCCCGCAAACTCCTTATTAGTCCTCCCGCCTTGACCTCGTCGACCGCCGATGGAATCTCCAAACAAGCCTGATTATATCGAGCAACATACTTGCGCAATGACTCCTTTTCGCCCTGCCTCATC